GGAAGGAAGGTTGGGCAATCCTACTTCCATAGTGATACTGCCTCAGAAACCCAAGGAGGGGTCGCTATGAGTCGGGGCCGACTCGACGGCACATAGCAACAACAACAACAACAACAACATCCAGAAATAAGCAACTGAAAGCTAGTGAAACCAGAACTTGAAGTCAGGCAGGATGAATCCCAACCAACTCCCTCTTGATTGCCCTATTCTGTTGAACTTTCTTTATATTAGTATGTTTTATGGCTTTGTTGTTCTCATTCTCCTTGCACATCTTGCAGAATTAAAAAATGAATAGCAGTATGTATATGAGAAACTTACTGTTATTTTATTATTCCATTTTTTAAGAACTCCTATTATTTAACTTTAGTGTCTAATAGCATTTTCTAGCACATGCTGGTCCAATGGTAATAAAATGCCATTAAATTTAAATAAATTTCCCATAATTTAATATTCCCTAGTAGTCACATTAAAAATAGTAAAAAGAAACAGGTGAAACTGAATATAAAGATATATATGACTTAATCCAATATACTCAAAATATTCTCATTTAAAGATATACTCAATATTAAAATATTAATAACACATTTGCCTTTTTTTATAACAAGTCTTCAAAATTTGCTGTGTATTCTACACTGGTAGTACATCTTAATTCATGCTAACTTCCTTTAAGAGCTCAAATAGCCTTATGTGGTCAGTGGCTGACTTACTGGCGAGCACAGATCTAGCAGATGAGAAGTCAGATTAATTTGAGGTTGTACCTAGCACCTTATCTTATGCCTGATTATAATAGGAATGAATGCTTTTAGTGTAGTGATTTCCAAACTTTTGTAAGGGGATCTTTATTCCATAGCACTGGTGACACTGTGGTTAAAGGATTGGACTGCAAACCAAAAGGTTGTTGGTTTGAACCCACTGGCCACTCTGTGTGAGAAAGATGAGGCGATCTGCTTCTGTAATGATTTCCAGCCTTGGAAACCTTATGGGGCAGTTCTACTCTGGCCTATAGGATCTCTATAACTTGGAATTGACTTGATGGAGGTGGATTTGGTTTTGGTTTATTCCATTGAGAATATTAATTTATGCATTTTCTTACCCACCCCGCCCCCTAAAAAATGCATATGAAGCTTCTTGGGCACTGCATAGAACTACAGCAACTTCCCTGGAAGTTACAAACCCCTATCAGTCCTACTGTTTTAATCTTTAATAGGATATTGGCTATTAGTTTGAGAAAAATATTTTTATAGGCTAAGGAGGTATCTTTTGTTCCTAATTTATAGGAATTATTGTCAAGAATGGATCTTGAAATTTAGTAAATACCCTTTTGAACTTTAACATGATATTCATTGTGCTTCAAAACTAAACCACCCTCTGTCAACTCAACTCTAACTGATGGTGACTGCCTTAGTTATCTAGTGCTGCTATGATAGATATACTGCAATTGGATGACTTAGGCAAACAGAAATTTATTCTCTCACAGTTTAGGAGGCTTGAAGTCTGAATTCAGGGCACTAGCTATAGGGGGAGATTATCGTTCTGTTAGTTCTGGGGAAAGGTCCTTGTCTCTTTTGACATTTGTGGACCTGGTGTCACTTGGAGGTCTCCATGTGTGTTGGCATCGATCTTCTCCTGGGTATAGATTCTCAGCACAGGGATCTTGGATCTAAAGGATGTGCTTTGTGCCAGGCTCTTCTTTCTTGTGGTAGTAGGTCCCTCCTTCTCTGTTTGTTTGTCTCTCCTTTTGTCTTTTGTAGGATAAAAGGTAATGCAGTCTACACCTCATTTCTCAGATCAGGGTTGTGACTTGAATAAGTGGTTACATCCCATCTTAATCCCCTTGATAACTGATTGACTGATTACATCATAAGGAATGATTACATCATTACATAATTGTCATGTTACAGCATTACATAACTGCCAAATTACATCATTATGTAACTAAGAAACCACCAAGACTCATGGCCCAGCCAAACTGGCACATATTTTGGGGGGTTAAAATTCAATCTGTGACAGTAACTCATGTATATCACAGTGGAGCTATGATCCATACGGTCATCAAAGGCTAATTTTTAGAAGTAATTTGTCAGGCCTTTCTTCCAAATCATGTATTTACTGCATTCATTCTTGTTTGTTAATTTTTGCTTCTTTCTTATTTTATTATTTTTGTGCTTCTAAAGTTTATTTATTGCAGTCAACCCCAGGGAAAACTCAGGGACACCCAAAGCAGCAGGCCAGAAGAGCA